CCCGATTACTACAACTTTTCCAATTACAGTGGAAACTGTCAAAGATGGCCACTCATTGTCGCAAAGAAAAATGACTGTCTCAGACATGTTGGTCCTCTTACACAGAATTGTTATACAGTAAAAATACATGAGAGAGGAAATGGGAAGTGGCCATTTGTACAGGTGACTGTCTTATACAGGTGACCATTGGCCCTGGTTGGAGGGAGTGGGAAATTATTTTTTGTAAGGTGATTGTCTTATACAGGTGACCATTGGCCCAGGTTGGAGGGAGTGGGAAATGATTTTTTGTACAGATGATTGTCTTATACAGGTGCTATTGGCCCAGGTTGGAGGAAGTGGAAAATTATTTTTTGGACAGGTGATCATCTTATACAGGTTCGATTGCCTTAAATACAGGTTCGACGCTACTTTGACAAGAACCTTCACTCACCTTCAGCCATCGGTTGTCCCGCGCCCAGTCCATCACTCCACTCAGAATCTCCTCACTCATCGCGCCGGCAAACCTCTCCACATCCTCACTCACTCTCACTCTCTCCTCCTCACCCTGCCCTTCTCCGCTACCACCCCCGACACACTCCTCCACGTTCCCAACATTATCATCATTATCCACATCTTCCGATCGTTGACTCCTCCCCATTCTGTCCATCACCCTTGACTCCTCCCCCTCTATTGGAGTGGAGGCGGAGCAAGGAAGACAAGAAGGCTGCGGGTGGCGTTGCAATCCCTCTCGATAGGAGAGATAATCTTCATGCGAGCCGGGAGCCCCGATTTCTCCCCGCGCCTCGTATCCGTGTTCGTCGGCCGGCGAGTGTTGTGAGTGTGGTTCTGACAGCGCGGCGGTAGGAGACGACGACGACAGAACCATCTCCACGTGGCCTGGGTGGGGAAAACGGTGGTCCCCAAGGTCACAGCCCACGGGGCCGATGCTCTCGCAGCTAGACGCAGGAGACGATGACGATGACAGTATCGAGGAAGACGTCTCGTCCGAGTGGTCGGTAGAGCTGGAGGAATCGAATCTACGCCTCATGCGAGAACGCCGACTCGTGTCTGGGCTGGACTGGATCACCTGGAGGAAAATTATACAGTAGAAAATTGTTTTTTGTACTGAGAAACGAGAGAATTATACAGTACAATATCTTCATTTATACCATGTAACAAGTGAATCATACAGTATAAAATCTGTAACTTGTGAAATATGTGTATGTAATATTTCATTTATACCCCGCAATGTATGAATTATAGTCTAATATCTTCATTGGTACAGTGTAACGAAAGTGAATTATACATTGTAATATCTTCATTTATATTAATTGGGTAAAGTATAAATGATAGAGTAATATTTCTTTTTAAACAGCGTAATATGTGGACAACACAGTTTAACATATTTATTTTATATTGTGTTAATATCTTCATTTAGAGGGTAACATGTGAATTATGCTGTGCAATACCTTCATTTATACAGTTTCACAAGGGTGAACAATATAGAGTAACCTTATTTATACAAAGGAATGTGGATGAATAATAAAATTTGTTTGAGTCTAGAGTAGTTCTTTTTTTTTTTTAGTAGAGGGTTTTACGGCGCTCGCAACTGCATAAGGTCATATGAGCGCCAAGGGGTGGGTGTCAACAGAGAAGTCCTTACAGGGAATCAGACTTATTCTGCTCACCTCTCTAGCTTCAACAGCACAAAGTCTGCTTCGACTATCAAGGCATCCGGGAAATAACGGGTCACAAGAGTGTGACAAACATACAAAAGAAGTAGAGGAAATGACAATAGTAAGGATTAAGAGAGAAAAAGCAGCAGTTCCCTGTTGTAGATCAGGCACAGTTATGAGCGTGACATGATGAATCAGCCCATTTACAATTCTACTGTGCTTGAACGAGAAATGTCCCCCCTTTGGGAATGGCCTAAAGACACTACAGCCAGTGGCACTGCCCTGGTGGTAAACAAAGACAGACCCACACAAACTACAGAGGCAAAGAAAAGAAGTAGAACCTAGCAGTAGCATCCTTCAACCACCCACCAGCAAAATTATTCAGTGTAATCTTGGTGCATTAAAGTTTGGTTTAGTTTTAGTAAGAGTTTGACAGACTTTGTGCTGCTGAAGCTAGAGAGGTGAGCAGAGTAAGTCTGATTCCCTGTAAGGACTTCTCTGTTGACATCCACCCCTTGGCGCTCATATGACCTAGTGCAGTTGCGAGCGCCGTAAAACCCTGTACTAAAACAAAATAAGAGTGTGACAGCACTCGCAACATATTTAGGTTATATATAAGTGTTGAAGATGAGAGGGGTTACTTGAGAGTAACATGCAAAGTAAAGGAGGAGAGATAAGGAAGACAAATGATTTTAATTTTAGTAAGTGTTTTACGGCACTCGCAACACAATAAGGTCATATAAGTGCCGAAGATTAGAGGCGTTACAAGAGTGTAACAAATACAAAACAGAAGGAGGGGAGATAAAGACGACAGATGTTTGATAGGAAAGAAGGAGCAAACCACACCAGAGCACCCGCCAACCACCCACGACAAACGATTGACAAGAAAGATTAAGAAGGAGCAAACCACAGCAGAGAAAAGCTGCCAACCATCCATTGAATTAATATTGTTTTAGTAGAGGTTTTACGGCGCTCGCAACTGCATAAGGTCGTATGAGCGCCAGAAGATTAGAGGTGTTACAAGAGAGTAACAAACAAAAAAAAGAAGGAGGGGAGATAAGGACGATAGATGTTTGATAGGAAAGAAGGAGCAAACCACACCAGAGCACCCGCCAACCATCCATTGAATTAATAGCCAAGACACGCACAGAGAAGAACAAGAACAAATAATGCAACAAGTTTACCTCAAGAGAGCTGCTCTGCAAGGCGGGGGTTCGAGACTGTCTGTGTGTGGAGGATGAAGGCAGCAGAGAGGATGAAGAGGGAGGTATCTGGCTATTGGAGGAGGAAGTGGCTTTCTGGTGGTGAGGGCGTCTCGTTGGACGACTGGAGCGTGGAGGGGGAGGGTGGTTGTGGTGGTGGGGGT